AAGAAGGGGCCAGTGTAGACACAGCCAGGTTGTCTTTGGGCTACAGAGGCAGGAGGGAGTTCCCATTCTATCCTGCCTAGCTCTGGGCACTATGAGGGTACGTCTAGACTACAGGCTGTTGTCGACAGAGGCTTTGTCGACAGCTAGTGTAGACACAGCCAGGTTGTCTTTGGGCTACAGAGGCAGGAGGGAGTTCCCATTCTATCCTGCCTAGCTCTGGGCACTATGAGGGTACGTCTAGACTACAGGCTTTTGTCGATAGAGGCTTTGTCGACAGCTACCATCAACAAAGCTTCTGTCAACAAAGAGCGTCTAGACTACATCCAGTTCTGTCGACAAAGCAAGCTACATTGTCGACATGACAGTGTAGACGCAAAGGACAGTGTAGATGCAATAACGCCTTCTGTCAACAGAACTCTGTCGACAAAAGGCGTTATTCCTCGTAGAATGAGGTTTACCACCATTGACAAAACTGCTGAGTTCTGTTGATTTTATGTCGACAGAATTTGGCGGTAGTGTAGACGCAGGTATAGTTTTGTTGACAAAAGTCCACTTTTGTCGACAAAACCCTGTCGTCTAGATACACCCTGAGACATGGGAATTGGATGCCACCTGCCACTGGAGAATGGGGAGAGGGGAAAATCTATGGCCTTCTGTGGAAGCTTGATCTTAAAAGCCCTATCCTTTTCTGCTGTGACCCTGAGACTTGTGTGTTCTCCCTAGTGACTGGATAGCTTTGGGGCTGGGGAGGAATTCATAGCCCTACAACACTGAAGTTACAGCTAAGACATGTTCCATGTCCTATCCAAGTAACTATCTCACTGTAACAGCTGAGCACCCCACAATCACTGGTGGTGTTTTATCTTCTCAACCCTTCTGTGAGGTAGGAAGTATCCTCCCCATTTACAGAGAAGGAAATGAGCCAGGGCAGGGTAAACAATTTGCCCATGATCACACAGGAAGTCAGTAGCTGAGCCAGGAACTGAAGCCAGATCATTTACGTCCCCGGCGGGCCTTCATCACTAAATTTCCCTTCCTGAACAATTCCCAGTAGAGAAAGGAAAGAAAGGGTTGGCCGTTAGCGTTGAGGAAGGGCGGTGTATATCTGAATGACTCTGTAGGGACATGTGTATGTGTGAGATGGTAGCCAAGATCTTTGTGATTTGGAACAACAGGCGTGGGCTGCTCTTTCTGGTTTTTTGAGGCTGCCTAGCTCGAGACTCCTGGTTTTCAGAAGTTGAAGGTTCAGCACTTTCAGAGCATCAGTCTCCTTCTAGGTGATGCAAGTTGGATGCTTAAACTCTTGACTTGATTTTGGGGCTTGGGATCTGTAAGGTCCTTAAGCAGATGTGTAACTTTTAATATGCAAACAGGCCCACTGAGTTTAAAGGCATTACTTGTGCTTCATTAATGTACAGGTAGTCCCCGAGTTACGCGGATCCGACTTATGTCGGATCCGCAGTTACGAACGGGGATTTTCTCGCCTGGTCCCGCCGCCCGCCTCCTCCGGGGCGAGAAAAGCTGCTCCCCATCTCCCTGGTCTGCTGCGGGAGCCAGCAGACCAGGGAGACGGGGACCAAAGCGGCGCAGGACCCGGGCCAGACCGCGGCGCTTCCAGCTGATCTAG